TCGTCTCCACATTTGAACAGGAGGCAGTTTAAAGCATTGCTTATCGCCTGCTTGCCTTCTCGATGCATTTCCGGAAGTGAAATATGTCTAAGCCCAGGCACACTCTAGTGTGGGGCATGGAGTGGGCTGCCATGTCACGCTCTGCTTCATTCTGTCGGGGATTGGTGTTGTCTGGATACCTCCTTTTTAAACGTTTCTGTTTAAGTAATTATTTTTCTCAGGACCTGCCTCTATAGATCAGTCTAGCCTTGAACTCGGAGATCATCCTCTCCAATCCTGGGATTGTCGTGACAAAGGCCTGAGCCACCACTGCCCAGCCTAAGGTTTTTTAAATAACTGGAATTTTAACCAGATTACAGATGGTGCACATTTATAATCTTAGCAATCACTAGGTAGAAGCAAGAAAGTCAGACATATCAAGTTTGAGGCCAGCCTATGCTACATGAGACTGTCTCAAAATGAAATAAGTAAATACTAGGATTTTACTTCAAGATGGAGTCTCATACCTCAAACTCCCTATGTAGCTAGGGATAACCTTGAACTTCTGTGTTTTTTTTTTTTTTTTCTTTGTTTGAAACTGTAATCCTGGCTATGTGGCTAGCCTGGAACTCCTTTGTAGAGCAGGCTGGCCTTGAACCCACAGAGATCCGCCAGCCTTGAACTCCAGTCTTCCTGTTTCTCACTCCCTGAGTGTTGGAATTATTAGGATGTGCCCCCCATACTCAGTCTTTGGGGTGCTGGAGATCCAGCCCAGGGCTTTGTGCATGGTAGATAAGAAATCTGGCCAGTTAGACACATCCTCAGTCTGTTGCCTGATGTAGAGGAATGTAAGAGGGGATCAGGAAGACCAAAGCAGGAGGACAACCAGAAGCTCGGCCAGCCTGAGCCACATATGGAGCCACAGGCCAGCGAGGACGGCATGTGAAACCCTGTGTCAGGACGAAGGGAGGCCAGAAAAACCAATGGTTCTCTGTCCTTAGCTTTCACTGTACCTGAGCAAGTGTCTCACGGGGATCTCGTGTCTGTCAGAACACCGAGCAGATGCCTGCTGACTCGGAGGCAGACCCAGCGGCAGATGCTCCAGGAAGGGCGAAGGGGGGATTTCCAGTTCTGTGTCATCTTCATTTGTACGGCTTTACTGTCTAGGAGACCGGGTGTTCCCCAGCTCCTTAGCGGGGTTAGTCCAGGACGTATGTAGAGGTCGAAGCAAGTGGCTGCCTTTCCACGCTCCTGAAGGCATGACAGGAGAGTGGTCTCCATCCCAGAAACCTGTAGCTGCTTGACATGGCGGCATGAAGCAACAGCTCCATTTTTAATACTCAAGACCTGGATAATTTTATCTACCCTGATGCTTAAGAATTAGATGCCTTAATGTTTTGGTTTTTATTTGCTTTTTGTTCTCTACTTTACGTGTGTAAGTGCTTTGCTCAACTCTGTGTCTTTATACCAAGACACACAGGACTGCCTGGTGTGGCCTTGGAGTTTAGAAGAGGGTGTGCGGTCCTGTGGAACCGAACCTTGGATGCTGGGAACCCAACCCAGGGTCTCTGCAAGAGTAAGTGTTCTTTCTTAGCCACCGAGGTGCCTCTCCAGCCCAGGTTTCTCGGTGTTGCTTTTTGTTTTGTTTCTTTGAGACAGGATCACAATTATTCTAGGCTGGCCTCAGAGGACCTTGAACGGGCCCCTTTGTTCTCGCCTCCCCAGCTGCTGGGATTGCAGGTGTGTGGGGCACTCCTGGGTGGACTGTTTCGTTGTCGCTTGTGCTTTTGGATGTGGGTTAGTGCATTTTATATGAGCAAGTGTGAGTTGGTTTTTTGCTCTCCCTACACCAGGGCATTGGAAGACAAACTTCAACACCCAAAGCAGAAAGGGAGAAGCTAGACAGCAAGGGAAAGAGGCTGTTGGATTTAAAGTAAAAAAGATCACTAGAGCAGTGGATAGAGCAATCATATCATTTATTCCTTCTCCTTCACAAGTTCAGTCAACTGAAAAAGTTTATTTTCAAACAGGATCTGTGTTGTCTTGGCTGAACTAGAACTCACTGTGTAGACCAGCTGGCCTCTGCCTCTGCCTCCTCCTGAGTGTTGGATTGAAGGCGTGCAACACCACACCCAGCCCTAGAAATTCTTTTTTTTTTTTTTTTTTTTTTTATTTTTCAAGACAGGGTTTATCTGTATTATTTTGGCTGTCCTGGAACTCACTCTGTAGACCAGGCTGGGCTCAAACTCAGAGATCTGCCTGCCTCTGCCTCCTGAGTGCTGGGATTAAAGGTGTGTGCCACCAACGCCCGGCTGAAATTCATTATTTTAATTTTTTTGAGGACAGTCTATTTTTATGATTTTTAAATTTTTTATTTTGATTTTTTCATTTTAATTGTTTTAAAGATTTATGGGGCTGGAGAGATGGCTCAGTGGTTATGAGCACTGGCTGTTCCTCAGAGGACCAAGTTCAATTCCCAGCACCCACATGGCAGTTCCCAGCTGTCTGTAACTCCAGTTCCAGGGGACCCAACACCCATGGCAAACATCAAATACATTTTAAAATACATAAAACAAATACATTTTAAAAGAGATTTACTATTTTACATGTTTTTAGTGTTTTGCCTGTTGCTTGCATAGATTTAGCCTGGTCCGCTGGAAGATCAATAAGGTAGCCTAATGACCTTTCAGTAGTCAGCAGTGAGACTGGCTGTACATGACCAGCTTGAGATGACGCAGATTGCAAATGAAAAGCTGACCTGCAGGAATGTATGCCCCTCCGACTGGATGGTGAATGAACAAAGGAGGGCCAAGAGGCCGGGAAGCCTGGTGAACGTCCCAACAAAAGGCTGGTAGCTAATGTCTGAGGTGTCAGTTTAAAAGGTGAACAGATTTGTTTTGGCTGTTTGAGTAGTTCTAGTGCATGACAGATGGATCCCATTGTCTGGGGGCCTCTAGAGGAGTGGCACATGACGTCAGGTGACAGCATAGCAAAGCCAGATAATGGCCTGGAAGCAGGAGACTACAGCTCCCTGCAAGGCATCTCCCTTGTGGTCATCTACTGGGCCTTACTTCTTAAAGGTTCTCACCACTTGGGGATAGAGAAATGGCTCATCTGTTATCACTGGCTTTTCTTCTGGAGGAAGATAACTCAGAACCATCTACCTCTGGTTCCAGGAGACCCAGTGCCCTCTTCTGGCCCCTGGACACCAGCAACCATTGTGGTACACAGACAGCAGGCAAAACACTCCTACAAGTAAAAGGGTTCTTGTGTTGTTCATTTTAAAAGTGTCACCTTCCAGTAGCCTCACCTAGATAACAAACTTTTGGCTTTGGGGGACATTGGAGGACCTGTCAAATCTGTAGCCGTTCTGAGTCCAAACATGGGTCTGAAATTTTTCCTACCTTCTACCTGAGACTTGGAGATGCCAGTAGTCATGAAATGCCTGAGATGATGATGTGATGTGCAGGCAAACATTGTCTGCCAACCAGAGACCTTCCCTGGAACTCAAGGCAAGCGCCCAATCCTCCCAGCAGGGGAATGCTACTTAAATATGGCACCACACATTTTATGGACCCGTCCAGCCTACGCAGAGCCAGTGAGAGTCACAAAGGAAGCTGGGAAAGGCCTGATGTGCAAGAGAAGCCACCTGTGATTTTGCGTTGGTTCCCTTTGCTCATCCTGTTTCCTCCTCCCCACCCAGTGAATGCATATGCACGGGTGGGTGTGTGGGCATTTGAACCGACAACAGAAAGCAAGGGAGCACAGGGACCCTCAGCCCACCGTTGCTCACAGAGAGCCTGATGCCAAAGCACCCACAAAACCGGGTGTGTTCCACAGAAACGTAGTGAGATGCAAACATTTGCCTTTTAAAATCTTGTCATTTTGGAGACAGTGTCTCTCTACATAGTCTTGGATGTTCTGGAACCCACTATATAGATCAGGCTGATCTTGAACTCACAGAGATCCACCTGCTTTTGCCTCCTTAGTTCTCGGATTGAAGGTATGTACCATTATACCACTGACTTGATAGAAGTATTTCTTGCTAGTTTTTCCTTTCTTTTTCTTCCTTTCTGCTTTTCTTTTTTCTTTTTTTTTTTTTTTTGAAGGGGGGGTGTTCGAGACAGGTTTTCTCTGTATTGCTTTGGAGGCTGTCCTGGAACTCACAGAGATCCGCCTGCCTCTGCCTTCCGAGTGCTGGGATTAAAGGCATGTGCCACCACTGCCTGGCTCTTTTTCGTTTTTAAAGACAGGGCCTCTCTAGTGGCCTTTGGATTGTCCATGACCTGGAACTGACTACATAGACCAGGCTGACCTCAAATTTACAGCAATCCACCTGCCTGTACTGGGATCACAGGCGCGCACCACTAAGCCTCAGTGGGGTTTTCTCGATCAGTCATTTAGCTCACATCAGTGCTGAAGCACTCGGATAACGTGGCTCTTGCCTTGATCTCACCCCTTGAGGTAAATCGATTTGAAGTGCAGGAGCTTCTTCAAACTTGGCATACTATGGAAAATCGTCTGTATGCGACATAAAAAATAGTGAAGTGTCACTCCTTCAGGGCTAATGCCTCCAGCTGAGCCATTCTTTCTAATGACTGCATTATGTTCTCAAACATGCCTATCCCCTGTGATTATTCATCCTCGTTCCCGTCTTTGAACGTTTGTGTTTGTGCAAGCTAATTTTTAACCACTGTGGCTTCTGGAGTGGCACAGGCTGGCTTCGGCCCGACGCCAGGAAAACAGGACTAACGGGAGGAAAGCACATGCAAGCATAAGCTCGGCATAGCAGGACTAAGTTGACTCTACGAAGCGCAGGAAGCAGCAGGATGCACGCATGCGCAGGCAGCGGGCGCGGGCGGGGCTCCCTCCTGCTCTAGAGCGTGGCTTTCCAACTCCGGCCGCTGGAGGGCGCTTCCGAGCCAGCGTCGAGCGTTTCCGCCGGGGCCCCGCCCACCCGGGCTCGCCCCGCGCCGCGATTGGCTGCCCGGCGGGAGCGCGCCGAGTCAAGGGGCGGGCCCGCGCCGGCTACAAAGCGGCGAAGGTCACGGCGCGAGCAGGAGCGCGCGGGCCGCCGGGAATCCCTTCTGCGGCCCGCGCCCCCAACGCGCTGACCCGACCGGGGAGCCATGGAGGGAGTGAGCGCGCTGCTGGCCAGCTACCCCACCGCCGGCCTGGCGGGAGGCCTGGGGATCACGGCGTGCGCCGCCGCCGGCGTGCTGCTCTACCGGATCGTGCGGAGGTGAGTGCGCGCCCCGCTGCACGCGGCCCGGGCCGCCGCCCCGCCCCCGCAAGGCCACGGCCGAGTCTCCGGTGCGGACCAGGCCTGCTTGCGAATGCGCGGGACCGTTTCTGCACCTCCTTTCCCTCGCCCCCTGGAGATGTCGGAAGCCGCCTCGGTGCGCGGCTGGGGGAGGGGGCTGCCTGCGTGCCCCTCCCTTCGAGGCCTGAGCCCCCTGGCTGTACTGCCCAGCTGGGCCTCTGGCAGCCCATCGGTTAGGGTGACAGAGCTGGCACTTGGTGGTCCGCATGCGGTGGCAGTAACACTCCTCACCGAAGCTTCCCCGGGAGAAGCCTTCGCGTTAAATACTTAGAGGAGGCACGTGGGAGCAGTGGCATTCGGAGGCACAAGCCTACACCGCACACACGTAGGGAACTTGTCTACCCGAAGGTGAGGACACTGTACTCCTCTGACACCTTGTCTGAGGGGGTTTGGGGACAGTACTCTGGGCTGCCGTGGCTTAGAAATCACGCGGACCCTCGTCAAAGCTGCCTTTGGCCATTCGCCTCTGTGGTCAAACCCCAAAATGGAAGAGCCTCTAATGCAAGGTGAAGGAATCGCCCTCCTGAGGACAGGAACATATGCGGGTTCATGGAGTCTCTTGGGGACAGCCAGGAATGTGCAAAGCTCAGAACCTGTCCCTAGTCCTTTGACAACATGGAGCTATGGTTTGAACTCACGTCGACCTGGCTGATAGGTCATCTTCCTCAACCCGGCTCCCCTGAGGTGGGAGGCAAGCCAAGGGTGTTGGAGGTAGTTGAGTCATAGGGGGCTTCTGAGGAGGAAGGAGTGGAAGTCAGCAGTGTCTGGAGGAGGGGGTCACATCGAAGGGGGAGACTCTAGGGACCTCAACCCAAGCATCTCATCTTGTTCTCACCCAGGTTTTGGAAGTCAGAGGGGCCTGTCAGATCAGGCAGCCCAAAGCAGCCCTTCCTTACCTACCCAGGGAGCCTGGGCAGTCCTGAGCAGAGCTTGTCTAGAGCCCAGGATGGGGCGTGTGGCCACAAAGAGCTGAGTGGGTCTGGTTGTAGGGAGGTCACTGCCTGTCACCCCTTCCTGCCCTCTGCTGAAGACAGGAATCTGAGGCCTTGGTGAGGTGCAGAGCATACTCTTGCAGTGGGAGCCAAAGTCCTTTCATGCCCACAGCAGACTGTCAAGGTGGGGAGTTTGGTCAGAGCGTGGTGGTGTCTTCATGAGCGCTGGGTCTCGTCTGGAGGTAAATTGGCCACTCACAGTTTTGAGGCAAGACTGACTTAGCAAGGGGCAGCAGCTTTCCCCGTTTGGGGCGGGGGGGGGGGGGTTGCTGTGTCGGGCAGGAATCATCAGCTGTGGCGCAGGGTGGGGGTTGGATAAGCCTGGAGAAGACCAGCAAGGAGTTGTCTTTGGAAGACCTCTTGGTGCAGTGAGTGGGTGTTTGCGAGCTAAGCACAGATAGCAAACGGCGGGACTGTGGCCCTGGGGAGCCATGTGAAGAAAATGGCTCAGTGTCTCTGTTCAGGTCAGTCTTTCCAGATTTTTTTTTTTTGGTTTTTACGAGACAGGGTTTCTCTGTATTGTTTTGGAGGCTATCGGTCCAGCCCAGCCTTGAACTCACAGAGATCCACCTGCCTCTGCCTCCCGAGTGCTGGGATTAAAGGCGTGTGCCGCCACCGCCCGGCTTTTTTTGGTTTTTTGAGACTGGGTTTCTCTGTATTGTTGTGGAGCCTGTCCTGGCACTCGGCTCTGTAGACCAGGCTGGCCTCGAACTCACAGAGATCCGCCTGCCTCTGCCTCCCAAGTGCTGGGATTAAAGGCGTGCGCCACCAACGCCCGACTTTCCAGAGTTTTTAAATCGGCTAAAGAGTGGCCGTGCTTGGTGGCATTCTAGTTTAATCCCAGGGCTCGGGAGTCAAAGGCAGGTGCAGGCAGATCTCTCTCTCTCTCTCTCTCTCTCTCTCTCTCTCTCTCTCTCTCTCTCTCTCTCTCTCTCTCTCTCTCTCTCTCACACACACACACACACACAGCCAAAGTGGTTGGTTGCTGGGAAGTCCTCTAGAGCCCAAATCTGACCACCCTGCTTCCTTACCCATGGGGTTTTCTTATCTTAGTTACTGTTAATGATGAGAGCAGCTGCCATTCCTGGACAGGTGACAGTGACTGCCATTAGGTGGCATCTCCAGGGAGGCCGTTCTCACCCATTTTACAGCTGGGGAAACAAAGCCTCAGGACTGCCCTTCCTGACCCAGCTGTCAGTGAAGCCTCCCCGTCCCACACCCACACTGCACTTCGCACTTCTCGCTGCTCCTCTGCCCCTGTCGCTCTGGGGTGGAGGTCCGCTCTTCCTGTGCCACAAGTCTCCGTGCTGCTGCTCGGTGTCACTTACCCCTTTGCATAACGTACTTGGGATTCACCCCTTGGGGATTCGCCACCGCTGTCCTGCTTGCACAGCCTGTGGCCTCTGCCAAAGTTGATTGAGAGCATAGTTTCTGTGTTTGGACATGAGGAGGACACGGCCTCCCGGATGTATAGCCCGGCCTGTCCTAGCATCCAGAGGCCCTCTGGCAGGTACTCCTGTGTCTGGGCTCTCCTCAACACTCACTGTTCTGAGCTGCCCACTCCAACTGAGTGGACGCCACTTTACGTGCCCATTTCGTGTGACCCTCTCCTGCCTTCTGCCCTGCTGCTGAGGGCACCTGTTTGTGACTGATGGCGCATGCCCTGTGTGTTGGCTGGCCAGACCTGTGGCGTCTGTTGCCAGCTACTCTGAGCTGTCATTCTTCTCTTTGTATCCTGGTTCAGGTGATGCGTATTGCTCCTGTGTCATTTCTGAAAGCCTTGTGTGGCGCTCGGTGAACTGAGCGGGTATGTGTCGGTCCCTAACTGACTCTGTCCCGAGGGAGTCAGTTTTGGGGGTCCCTGCTGTCGTCCACAGCATTGCTGTGAGAGGGCCAGGCTGTGCAGAGTTGCAGTTCACTACTGCCGCCATGGACGCCCAGGATGCGCCTCTGTGGACTCTTCCTGTTCGGTAAAGTCACACTTGGAAGAGCAGAGAAGGCGCACCTGTGAGGCGGAGCTTTCTCTGGAGCTGAGGTGCAAGCTTGGCTCTCACAGGCAAAGCCCCCTTAGGGAGAGATGAGCACACTGCCCCCCCACAGATTCAGAGCACCCTAGGATAACTGAGCCCCATCTAGTGTCTTCTGTGTGACGTAACATGGCCCTGACTGGTTCCTGGGCAGGTAGCTTGCAGTAGTGTGTCTGTGCTGCGGCTTTGAGGGCAGGTGTTTGACTCTTCCTAAGTATCCTGGGCTGATGGAGAAAACCTCACCAGGGGCCCATGCTCGTGTTTCCCCCATGTGTGTTCCAGACCCATGGAGAGGATACCAGGCATGTCATTGTCCTTGTCCCCTTCTATAAGGATCCATCTGCCATAGCTCCTTCTGACATCCCAAGAGTTAAGTGTCAAGATGACCTGCTGGGAAAATGGCTTCCAGGTCCCCCCCCCCATGGCAGTTGGGGTTGGCCATGGGCTGAGACGCTGTCCCTGCCGCCTCACCCCTCCACCCTACTCCCCAAATGTGAGTTCTCATAGAATCAGTTGTTAGCTTCAGGGAGAAAAGTGGCCCAAGAAGTTTGAGGGAAACTTGAGGGGACTTTCCCTGAACAAAACCTGGGTGGTTCTGCACCAGAGCTGCCCGGTCTGCCTGGGGACAGCATGGGAACTGCAGAGGTGGCTGGGACAGGTTGCTGCTTTCCCACCCTGTGGTGCGGCAGTGGCAGTGCTGGTCGGTGCTGGTGGGGCTGAGATCTGACCAGCTGCCCCGCTGACCTGCCACACACCTTTTGGGGCTGTCCCTGAAGGAGGTGACTTCTGGTGTAGAGATCCCAGCTAGCCGTGGTGAACAATGGTTGCCTTGGCCATGAAAGAACACCACACCCCCTTTCCGCATCCACCCCAGCAGAGATTCTCCTCCGGCTTCGGGAGGGTGAATCCCCCGCCTTCCACTTCCACACCAGGCTTCTTCCAGAGGCCAGGAGCCATTTCCCTGGCAACAGAGCTGGAGGCCCAGAGTGGAAATGATGGCTTCCTGGGTAGGAGGGGCTTCCTGGCAGACTCGTCACTCCAGAGCCACAGTCCCTGCTTGTCTGTCTTTGGCCTTCCCCATCAGACACAGCAGAGCTAAGGAACCCCAGGGGCAGGTGGGTGCTCTGTCTCAGGCTCGGGCAGATGAGAGGTCGTGCTACCTAAGTACCAGCTGTGAGGCATACCTCATGCATAATTACAAGAGGCCTATAAAAGACGTACAAATTACCACAAAGTAAGTGCTTAATTGCCCAGGAACGCCAAACGCACGGGCACCGCAGCCACGCTCATTCCCAGACCTCAGCCACAGCTGGTGCCGCAGTGCAGCTGCTCTTTCCATTCAGGGCCAGGAGCTAGCAGCAACAGTCTGTCCAGGGCAAAGTCTGTGCAACTCACTTGAGAAATGAGGGACTCAAATGAAACTTCTAGGAGGTAGAGTGACTGCAGAGACCATGTTACAGAGCTCCCTGTCCAGTGCACCGTCTTCAGGGGCTCCCTGTCCAGTGCACCGTCTTCAGGGGCTCCCTGTCCAGTGCACCGCCTTCAGAGGCTCCCTGTTGGCCCTGGGCTGTCCCTTTGTGGGCTGATGTGTGTGTGTGTGTGTGTGTGTGTGTGTGTGTGTGTGTGTGTGTGTGTGTGTGTGTGTGTGTGTGTGAATGCAGGGGCCTGTGCAGGCCAGAGGCATCAGATCCCTTGAAGCTGGGGTTATAAGCGGTTGTTGAGCCACCAGAAGTGGGTGCTGGGATCCAAACTCTGGTCCTGCAGGACCGGTGAGTGACCTTAACTGCTGGAGCTGTGTCTCCTCCTGTGTCTCCTCGCTCCTCCCTGCGAATCTGAAGGTTAGGCCTGAACTGAGGTAGAAGGAAGTGTGAGCCTGGGCTGCTAGAAACCCCCAGCCTCACCATCGTGGTCACTGTCATTTATTGGCACTGGCGAGTCTGAAACACTGTTCACTGTTCAGTGCTTCCCAAGCCCCTGTGTGTGTGGGGGGGGGGGGTGTTATTACCCTGCTGACAAGGTGCCTTCCTTAATCTGCCCACAGTAGGTGCAGATGGAGCTGCTGGCCAGGCAGTGTGGGCGGAGTTAGGAACTAGAACCCCAATACAAGGCTGTTCTCCCTCCTGGGCTCCCGACTAGATGCCCTTCCCATAGCTCCTGACGGCTTGTCATCACACTTGTGACAGCCACAAGCAGCTAGTACTGTGCCTGGCCCACTTCACAGACATGGCTTACCTGCTGAGTTTGACAAATGGGGATCTCCTGGGGACGCACGCACGCACACACTCACACACACACACACACACATACCCCACCCCGTGTCTGGGTAGGATTGTCCTGCAGGCCCCACCCGTTCCCAATGTGTGGCCAGTGAGACCCACTGTGGGGCTGCCCCCCCTTACCCAGAAGGCTGGGCCCTGGCTGAGCAGCTGTGACTTGTCACTGCCCCTGTCACCAGTCCCCACCTCCTTGGTCTCCTTGGCTCTCAGTCCTCTAGGGATTTTTTTCTGAAAGGACAGAAGGCTCTCTCAGTCTTAGAACTCTCTGAAAACATGACTTGTGCATTCTAGGAGCAGACCTCTTGGGAGAGGAGGGGTCCTAAGCTTCATCTCTACTGGCCTATTTGTTGGCTATCCCTGGTCCTGTCCCATCGTGCCCCCCTCTTGTCTGAGACCCAGAACGTTGCAGGCTGGTAGGCTGGGGCTCCCAGGGGAATACTCTGGAGCCTACAGAGCCAGTGAGTCTCCAGCTGTCTCCTGTGACGTACTTTGTCAGTTATTATCCTGAGAGAGCACGACATCCAAGGAGTCTCTCCCCCGTCCGCCATGACTTCCTCCTTGGGCTGGGCCTTCATCTCCTCCTTGGATGTCACTTCCTGCGCTCGGAGGGTCTTACATTTATTGCATCAAGGTCTTCCAGGCTGACTCTTGTCCTTGGTCCACAGGGCGAAGCCAACGCACACGGTGGTCAACTGCTGGTTCTGCAACCAGGACACACTGGTGCCCTATGGTAATCGCAACTGCTGGGACTGCCCCCACTGCGAGCAGTACAATGGCTTCCAGGAGGTGAGGGCTGCGGGCGGGCGTGCAGGCGGGCGGGGCTAAGGCTGCTGCTGAGCTGGCCTCAAGCTCTCCCGTACCATGCCTCTTGTTCTCTCTTGTTCTAACTGTGGTCCTGCCACTGTGTCTCCCTTTGAGGAAGAAGAGCAGGTGCAGGGAGCTGTGGCCACTTGTCACCACAGCAGGTGGCAAGGTCGGGCTTCAAGTTGAGAGCCAAGATGTGTGTAGCCCAGCTGCTGCAGACACTAAGTGTTGAGCTTCGTGGGCGGGTTGTTCTCTGTCACGGCTTTGATGCCCAGCCCCCACAGTGTGTGAGTGTCTGAATGTAGCTTTTACTGAAACTTAGTAAAACAGACAGCCTACCCATAGGCCCAGCTTGCAGGCTTAGTTCTCAGAGTGTGTGGCTCTTAGGGACACAACCAGGGTTTTGGTGAGGTCTGTGAGCAAGGCACACCCCAGGGCCTGCCCTTATGCACAGGCTGGATGGCTTCCCAGCACCTGGATGTTTAGGGTTCCCTGTGAGGTGACATCAGCAGCAATTGCTGCTGCTCCTTGTATAAAGAAAGTCAGAATACGGGCTGGAGAGATGCTCAGCCGTTAAAGGCTAGGCTCACCACCAAAAATATAAGAAAGCCAGATTAGGGTTGTCTGCAGCCCTGGAACATCCCTGAGTGGGGTCCCCACTGACCACGAGCCCCCTCCCTTCCCCAGAATGGAGACTACAACAAGCCGATCCCCGCACAGTACATGGAACACCTGAACCATGTGGTGAGTGGCGCACCTAGCCCCCGGGACCCCGCACAGCCGCAGCAGTGGGTGAGCAGCCAGGTCCTGCTATGCCGGAAGTGCAGCCACCACCAGACCACCAAGATCAAGCAGCTGGCTGCTTTCACGCCACGTGAGGAGGTGAGCATGCACAGGCGGGTAGAGCCAGAAAGCTGTTACCCTCCTGCTGCCCCCAGATTCCTGAGTGTGTGGCTTCCTCCTCAGCTGGAGCCGAGCTTGTGCTCAGTGTGATCTTGTGACCACTGGGAGAACACCGTGAAAACCAAGGCCTGTCAGGCAAGAAGGGTTTGTCCCTTGAGCTCAGCTGCAGTTTTAGGGGCTGCATCCTGGTCTCATTTGCTAGTCTGTGATGCCTAGGAAAGAGGCTCAGGAGTGAGCCAGGGGCCAAGAGGAAAAGCTGGCAATGACTTAGTGGACAAAGACGTTCACTGCCAAGCTTGCTTACCTTAAGTTTGATTCTTGGGGTGCACATGATGGGAGGAGAGACCAAAGTCCCACAAATTACCTCTAACTCCACTTACATGCTCGCACACACACACTAAATAAATGAATACATGTAACTTTTAAAGTTCTTTACGATGAGGCCATGAGGGAAAGATTGACACCAGGTGACTTTCCTGTGCCCCAACAAGAGATCACACTAACAACCATTCCCAGCAATGCACTGGCTGGACCTTGCAGCGTCTCTGAGGGAACAAGGGATGGGACTTCATCCTGAGCTACTGTGAAACTAAAGAACCGCTTGGCTACGCAAAGCCCAGGCGCAGCCAGCAGCCAGCCTCCTGGTGTGAGTGAGCAGCCAGCCCCCTGGTGTGTGAGTTAGGTGTCGGACTCCAGGAGAAGGGTAGAGCCTGATCCTAGGCCATCCTCCTGCCAAAACCTGGGGAATGTCAGCTCAATGCCACTCACATGAGCGGGTCCTGCTCTACAGAATGTCATTAATGTCACTGTCTCCTAGCTTCTGCTAGCCTGCAGGCAGGGCCAGTGTCTGAACCCAGTGCCCACGTGTAACACCGACCCTCTACCCGACCTACAGGGCAGATATGATGAGGAGATTGAGGTGTACCGCCACCACTTGGAGCAGATGTACAAGCTGTGCCGCCCTTGCCAGGCAGCTGTTGAGTACTACATCAAACACCAGAACCGTCAGCTGCGCGCCCTGCTGCTCAGCCACCAGTTCCGGCGCCGGGAGGTTGACCAGGCCCACGGACAGGTCTGAGGCCGTGGGGCATTTGGGTGTTGATCCGTGTGGGAAGATGCTCTTAGAGCTGGACCCTAGTGACTGAGAATAGCGTAGCATACCAAGACTCATTCCTGAGAAACAGCTGCCTGGTGGCTCCTTAGTGTCATCGGCTCTTCCTGACAAGAGTGGCTAAGATCATGATGCTGTCGTCACACGCGTTAGCCCTGTTTTGGGGTTGCCCTGCTCATTTTCCACTTTCTAGATAACATTGCATCTGTTCCTCCTGGCAGCCTCGTAGTATGTTAGGACCTGTGGCTCCTGGTCACAGCTGTCATGGGGGCTAAATGCTTACAAAGCTACAAACGTGATACACGGGTCAGACCCAAGTACATGTGACTAAAATTAACCCTAGTTTTGTCATGGTGTGTAAGCAAATGGTCTGGGTTTTTAAATGGTAAACCAGGAGAGGACTGTGGCTTAGTGATGCCCTGTCTACACGGCCAGCCCTGTAGATCGATCGAGCCTTGTCTACAAAGGGTTAAAGAGTCGTGGGGACTGGAGAGATGGCTCAGAGGTTAAGAGCCCTGGCTGCTCTTCCAGGGGTCCTGAGTTCAACTCCTAACAACCACATGGTGGCTCAGAACCATCTGTAATGAGATCTGGCGCCCTCTTCTGGCATGTGGACATACATGCAGGCAGAACTCTGTATACACAATCAATAAGTGAATCTTTAAAAAAAAAAAGGTAAAAGAGTAACAAGTATATTTCTAGTGAGACTCACCCCACAAGGAAGTTCCTTTTTCTACCCTGTGTCGGGGCGGGGCCTGAGTTCACTTGGTGTGTCATTTCCATGCTGACCATTTGGCCATGCTATGTCTGTCCCCACTCACCTGTGTCTGCTCAGAAGGACAGGCAGCCTCCATCCTCAGACCCTCGGTTCTTACTCTAGCTTCCTGGTTTCTAACCTGAGTAATGTAATGGCGGAAATTTTTATTGAACTTTTATTTTATCCAGAGCTAGCTGCACATTTTAGTTGAGTTGTAGTTAAGTGTCCTAGAGATTTTTGATGAAAACTTGACAGTGATAGAAAAATCTGGAATCACGTCCCTGTTGTATAGAAAGGGAGAAGGAACAGAGGCCGTCAGAGTGGCGGAGTGGGGCAGCGGTGGTGTGAGCATTAAGGCAGGGCATAGAAACAGCACTCCTGAGTATCTGGGTGCTGACCAGCGTCCCCACGTGGTGGGCACAGGGGTGGCCATTGGGGACTCTGGCTCTCACTAACCCATCTCTCCCTCCCTCAGAGCTTTGGTTCCTCGGCAACGAAGGCCCCCTTCCAGGTCATCCTGCTCCGTGCCCTGGCCTTCCTAGCCTGTGCCTTCTTGTTGTCCACTACACTGTATGGCCCCAACGACCCCTTCACCCCAGGGGCTGCCCTGCCCCCGGCCCTACCTCCTGGGGGCAACAGCTCCGCTGCCTCCGACAACACTACTACTCAGGCCGAGGGATGGCAGCAGCTGCTGAGCTGCTTGCCGGAGCACGCCACACAGAAGCTGCATGAGGCCTGGGCCTTTGGACAGAGCCACCAGACCGGCGTTGTGGCAGCGGGCCTGCTCACCTGCCTGCTGGCCATGCTACTGGCTGGCCGCATCAGGTGTGTTGTGGGCTTGGCTATGGCGGGCAGAGGTGTCAACACTGCGTGCTGCCCTGGGGGTGGGAACCAGGAGGCCTTATTGGTCCCCCGCTCTGGACTGAACTCCGTGCTCTGGGGGCCAGGAGGACAACGGGGACTGCAGGTGACAGTGACACTGAGCCAGTCTGCCTCAGGGTTGTCACCTGACAATCTCTACAATCAGAGTAGCAGAAGCCACAGGCCCCGTGCCATAAGAGCCCCAGTGCGCAGTGCGCAGCCTTGACTCAGGATGGACTCGGACCCTCCAGTGGTCTCACTCACGCTGCCTCCTCTCTGAGCTGGGCCCAGAGTCGGTGGGGTGTGGGGGCAGGAAATGGCGGGGCTCGGGCTTGGTAGTACCCGTGGAGCCCGCACTCACCTTGCTTTCTCCCGCAGGCTCCGGCGCATCGATGCCTTCTCCACCTGCCTCTGGGCCCTGCTGCTGGGGCTGCACCTGGCGGAGCAGTATCTGCAGGCCGCTTCGCCCAGCTGGCTAGACACACTCAAGCTCAGCACCACGTCCCTGTGCTGCTTGGTGGGCTTCACCGCAGCCGTGGCCACAAGGAAAGCGACAGGCGCACGGAGGTTCCGGCCACGCAGGTCAGAGAAGCAGCAGTGACTGCAGGGGGGAGGGGGACACAGGAGCTGGACCTGGTCTTTTCTTACCCACCCCACTCCCGCCCCCTAGCAGAACCTTGGGGTCTCGCTTGCCCCTCCGCTGCCCCCTTACTTCCCAGCACCCCAGCCCCAGTGCGCCCCAGGCCCTGTAGCTGCTCAGACTGCCACCGCCTCCCTGGCCTAAGACCCTTTCATAGCCCTGGTGATCCAAACATGGGCAGCCCCCAGGTGACCTGCTCATGGCCCATGGCGTCCTGCTAGCTCCAGGTACTCCAGTCTTGTCACAGCTCTTGTCTGGCTGTGTCTGACTCCACAGGTGAGGGCGTAGACTGCCCACTGTGCCCTTGTCATTTAACAAGGCGTGGCCTCTCGGGTGATCGAGGACTAGAGCAGAGCTGCCCCTCATCCCTTGAACCTCCTGGCCCCTGGTCCCCTCAGCATCTATTCCCAGTTCTGTCTCAAGACCTTCCTGAGACTTGTGGTCCCTGGGGTCCTTCCCTGGGAGTGGAAAATTGAGTTCATGTGGCCATCAGGGCCCTGGAGCCCGCCAGGCAGGAGGGTGCATTATCCCAGATAATGCTGCTCTGCACACACAGGACGCAAGGGGACAGACTGTTGGTGACACCAAGTCACTGTCACTTTGTCCTCCCTAGCATCAGTGGCTTCCTTGGAATAATTTGTGGAGGGCACCGAGGCTTCTGCCTTCACACGCTCTGGGGGCAGCTGCAGGCCCGTGTCTCAGCCTCTCCCCTCTTTCAGACACAGCTTCCTAGGATGCCGTCCCCAAAAGTCTTCCTTAGGGGAAGGGCCGCAAATCAGGCCCTTGCTAGCTGCATGGTTCTGACCAAACCCCTGTTGTCCCTTAGCCTTGGTTAACCATCTGAAGTGGGAAGTGGGTCCTTCTGTAGGGCTCTGGGGGTGTTGGCCTCAGTGGATTTGAGGACCACATGCGGTAACACTTGGTGATGCTGGCGGTGAAGGTGATGACCATGGAAAGTCGTTGTCCTCATCTGGAGCATAGGCCAGTACTGCCCTCTGGTGGCTTCTGGTTGGACTGCACCCTCCTTTGCTGTGTGCCTACCATGTGTCTATTAACGTAAATCCCGCTAAGCTGCAGGCTGCTGTACCCTCTGCTCCAGAGCCCAGGGAAGGCAAAAGCAAATTACACATAATGGTGTCACATCCATCAACACATGGCCATCAGATGCTGGGTCTTTGTCAGATGACTTCTTAGAGCCCCATGGGGAGCTCGAAAGAGGCACCCAGGCCCCACAGTGGTAAACCTGTTTGAGGGTTCTCAAAAGTCACTGTGCCCTCTGACCCTCCATAGCCAGACAGCAGACTGTGTCTTACCCAGCTTCCACGTGGGGTGAGCCCAGGTGTCAGAAGATGACTGGGCTTGTCTCTGGCGAGGTGTGGGTGAGGCTGTGGTTGAGATGTGGCCGCTGCTGCAGGTGGGGCACAGTTGCCTGAGAGAACAGGGAACACCCGCCTGTCTCTCGCTCCCAAGAAACGGGCCTGCGGGGAAGAGAGATGGGACAGGTGGTGGCCATTGTCTGCGCGTCCTCTCGTGATACTGTGGCTCTCCCTCTCAGAGAGGCTGGCATTAGGGTGCTAATTTTTGCTTTCTTGGCATTGGGTAGAAGCAAGATGTGTGTGTTCGTGTGTATATGTATTTAAATTATTTATGACACACAGAGCCAGCTCTGGCCAGCCCGGGTCCCTCCTAAGCATGTTGCTCCTGCCTTCTGGTGGGTGCAGAGGACGTGGTGGAGTAAGACTTCTGGCATTTTAAAGAGTTCTGGGTTACTTTAAAGTTTTGTTAGTTGAAGAAAGTGCCAGCATGTTCTGGCGTCGCAGAAGCTGAGCAAATATGGGCGCCCTTGGGTTGTGGCTTGTTGGCTGGGGACAACGACCGGGCCATCCCTGGTCAGAGTGGGGTCATCCCAGGTCATACAGGTTGTATCCCTGAAAAATGAAGGAGGGACTCTCGCCGTACTCGCCTCTGGGTCTGGAGTAAACCGCCAGGACCACTCTTTCCTCCCCTGGCCAGCCCATCCGCCCAGCTGTGTCCTTTATCTGCACCTGGTACAAGTCTTGTGTCGTGTAGTAGAATTGTAACTAATTGTCTAGTGACCCTAATCACTGTAACCACCACTGGCCATAGCGTCATGTTCTGAATGCTGTGTTTTCAATAAATGCCTCCTGGACCCGCTCACTCCGGTTGACACCAGGTACCGCGTCTTTTTTTCTTTCATGATCCTTCAGAAGGGCTTCTGTGCCACGGTGGGAGGTGGGTGGCCTTCGCAGGCACTGCATTTACACAGCAGTCTGCGCTTGGGAGCGGCTGGGGAGCTGACAGGGAATGGCTTGAGGGCGCAGCTGCTCCTCTGTCTTGCCCAGTGAGAATAAGCTGGTGGTTGAGCAGCTGCACTCTTGGTGGGGGTGAGGAGGAGTCTTGATGTTCCCCTCAGGGTTGGGTTAGGGAGTTCCAGACTTGGCCTGATGGCCCTCCTCATGTCAGGGCTCCCAGAAAACAGGAGACTGAGAGCGTGGGTTAGAGCACGCAGGCTTCCCAGGACCACTCACTAAAGGAGTGTACAGAGGAGGCTGCCTCGGGGACTCCCAGGGCAGGGCAGAGCTGAGGCTGCCACCTTTGGGATCCTCTCATCTGATGATGCCACCTTGTGTCACAGCCAGAGGGAACAGACTTCCAAAGCCCTCTCACAATGCTAACATTGTCAGAGGCCTCAAGACCCGCAACATCCCTGTGCCTAGTGGCCAGGACTCCCAGGCGTGACCGCTGCATGGCCCAGGCTTGAACGGAGCTGGGAAGAACAGGCATATGCTAGCAAAGCTCTGCCCATCTTTTGGTGCTGACCTTCTGGTCAGCGCCTGGCTGGGACCCTCTCCGTGCTCTGTGTCCCCGCTGCTTGTTGATCCTAGGACACCTGGCTATGGCAAGAATGGGCGGGCACAGGAGCCTAGTGTAGTGTCCTGCTGCCACCTGCTGGAAGGGCGTGGCCGTGCCTATGCACCTGCTCTGAGGCCGACTGACACTTGCCACAACTTTCACCAAATTCTCAGTGGGGCCCAGCGCCTTCTCGCAGGGGTTCATCCAGTCAAGCATGTGGTACCCAGGCTCCAGCCTCACCTCTGCTGGTCCTAAAGTGCCTGAATATGTCCGTGTGTCCCCTCTGGGCCATTCATTGAGGCCCTGCCAGACTCATTTGTAATCCTAAATGGAAAAATCTTTTTTTTTGGAGGGGGTCCTGGAGATCAAATCCAGATACCACCCCACCCCCAACCCCCCCTACACACATGGGAAATACTCTGCCACTGAGATAAACCGATCCCACAAAACCCAACTTCCTGCTTAAGACAGAGCATTCCTCAGAGTCTCAGAGTGAGAAGTGGGGCTTCCAACAGCCCCCCAAATGAGCAAAGTTAGGGTGCTCCAAGAATGCCCACTACAGTTTTGCTGTGCCCTGATTTCCTTTGTTCCCCCAAACACTGAGCTGGAGACTCAGGTGGCTTCACAGTCCTTTGCGAGAGAATGGGAAGGTCACCTCACTCTCTGGGCGGTCACCTCACTCTCTGGGCGTTCACCATATGGCTACATACGTTTCTCTCACAAAACTGAAAAACTGGGACAGGGGTAGTTCGGAGCTTGGCTAGCAGTAGCTCCGCTCTGCCATGACGGCATGGGGACCTCGGCCCCGTTCACCATGAGGTCTGACCCTGCCAGCCCATCCGTCGGCACATTGTCTGCTGGGTTCATTTGTCCCTTGGGACCGAGGTAAGGCTGGATACCGGAAGCTCCTTCCAGATGGCAGACTAATGTATTAACTGCCTCTGCCCCTCTCCCTCTGTAATCGGGTGCCTTAATCAGAAGCATGGTTGACATGGCCTGTGGCCATCAGGTTCTGTTGTGTGATTTGTACTGTTCTCGATTAAAGAGACACTGTCACCTTCTGTCTTTCGGGCAGTTTGGTGGTTGTTTGGTGGGGGTCTTTTCTAAGATTTAGTTTGGTGTGTATGCTGTAAGAGCCTTTTCTGGGGGTCCAAGGCCTGGCCATCTCCCCCTGTGCTACAGGAAGCAGCCTCATGAGCCATGGCCCCAGGGGAGATGTGGCAGCAATCCCAGCCCAGTTGGGAACCACCCAAAGTGTCCTCGAGTCCCACTGCTCCATTGGGAGCTTCTGGGCAAAGAATGGAGGTGGCCGGAGGAGCCCTGGCTCACTGAGCCTCACTGAGCACCTGGGCAGGGCCAAGGGGATTGGCATGAGGCTGGCCAGGGTAACAGTGTCACTTTAATGTCGAGAATCATAGTAGAGGTAGATTGCAGTGAGCCTGAGGGGGTCGGAGGGGGCATGTGGGGTGGCGTGGGTCATGCTGGGTCTCCCAGCCACCCGCTCCTAATCAGTGGTCAATTGCCCTTTCGCTTCAACTAACGCACGCCTCCTCTGGGACCCTAACTCAGGCCCACCTCGTGCCCGGGGAGGGGCCGGGCCCCTGTGTGCAGAGACTACTTCCAGGGCCGCCCTCACCCTCCTCCTCTTTGTGCCCCATGGGCCCTTGCAGGTTCCTCTCAGGAGACTCCGTCAGCCTTTTCCCCTCCAGCCCCAGCCTGGCCATGCCCTGCCCGAGCATCACAACCTCGCCAGCCTCCCTGTTCGTCCCCACCCCGCCCGGCTTCCTGCCTCTCACCAAGCAACAGCTGTTCAGATCTCCCCGGAGGGTCTCGCCCTCCTCGCTGCCAGGCCGCCTCAGCCGGGCCCTCTCACTGGGAACCATACCTTCTCTGACCCGGACAGGTAAGACCTTGTATTGGTGACAGAATCAAGCTAAGGACAGCTGGGCCAAGATCGTATGAAGAGGAGACGGGGCAATCCCAAAGAGTTGGGTTGAACCTCAGCTAAAGAGATAGGCAGGCTCAGACCCAAGCGAGCCCACTCAGCAGCTACATCGACCAATCGGATCCCCTTATTTCCATCATTACTTAAAATGTAGGCCTGCAGGAAAATGTTCCTCATGAGTGGTTGTATTTGAAGTGATATATTTAAAGGGCTCAGGAAGGGACTAGAGGTGTGGCTCAGTTGGTAGGGTACTTGCCTAGCATTCACAAGAGCCCAGGTTCAATCCCCAACACTACATAGACCCAGCATGGTGGTGCACACCTGTAAACCCAGAACTCTGAAGGCAGAGCTAGGAGGGTCAGAAGTTCAAGGTCATCTCTGTTAGAGCTCAGGCGTCTGTGCTGGCCTGCCCTTGGGGTTCTGCCGGATCCGCTCTCAGCTGCCGCCACTGAGAGCACCGCCTTGCACATTCAGTACACTCCTTTTAAAGGGCCCCGCCCACCTCCCGTCCGTCTCTCTCTCTCTCCCCCTCTCTCTGCCTTTCTTTCCTCTTCCCTGCTGCTCCTGTCCCTGGAAGTTGGTCTCCCCCTCCCCTTTCCATTTTCCCCTGATCCTTTTTCCTTAATAAAAAGCCCCTCCACTTGAACTCTGTTGAATGGGGTCTCTCAAGCCACTTTTTTTAAAGATGGATTTATTATATATACAGTGTTCTGTCTGCATGTGTGCCTGATCTCATTATGGATAGTTGTGAGCCACCATGTGGTTGCTGGGAATTGAACTCAGGACCTCTGGAAGAGCAGCCAGTGCTCTTAACCTCTGAGCCATCTCTCCAGTCCCAAGCTGCTTTTTTTTTTTAAATAGCCAGTTTGATACCAGCTTGCCCTGTCTGTACCCCTGCCTTCCAAAAAGTGCTCAGAGAGTGGCAAGCATCCTGTGTCGTCTCAGTAAATGAATGCTCACTGAGTTTTTATCCTTTTCTCCCTATCTTACTGGAAAACGTGGGCCTGAAAGGCAAGGATTTTGTTCCTGTCAGTTGAGTTTATTGGTGCTTGTCTTGGGGAGCCTGAGGAGACCAAGCCCCAGCCCTGTCTGGAGGGACTCTGCCTTGCCCTCTCCTTCCTAGGAGAATCTGCCAGGAAGGAAACTTGTTTGCTCATCTTGTTCTTAAATTGAGAGACAGACAGAGCGCGAGACAGAGGCAGAGACTGCACAAGTACAGATCATGCATGTGCGGTCAGGTCGTCAAGCCTGTCCATACAGCTTCTATCCATTGAGCCATCTCGCCAGCCTCATACCCAGTTTTGAACATGCTTAGTGTGTGTTAGTGACAGTTCTCGCTGGCCTTTGGGAACCTCCCTGAGTTTGCCTCAATCTCAGGAGTGTCCTGTGGCTTTCTGGGTGTCGAGTGAGCTTCAGGGCAGAATGTGGGTACATCTTGGTTCACCCCCTTTCTTTACGTAACAGTTCTGGGCGTGGTCGTTTAGTCGGGCTTCCACTTAACACCCTCAACAACTTCATCAGAGCCCGGGAGCCCCAGTCTTGGGTGACTTGCTCAAGGTCCCCCTGCCATTCAAAGCTGTGCGTGAGCCTGGCTACCACGCCCCTTGGTGCAGGCTGCTTCTAGACCTGCTGTGTGCGGCCAGACACGCTCGGACACTGCAGGAGTTAGGATTTTAGGATTTGAGCTAAGCAGGGGCATGGTTCCAGGCCTTGGAGTAGGCATGAGTAGAGATGGGAATGTCCTCAGTGTGGAGGCTTGGGTAACCCTGTACACCAGGTTCCTTTGAGGGAATAATGCCAGCCTCTCTCCTGTTCATCAGAGCAAGTGCCAAGCTCCACACGAAGCTTGGAGGGCGGTTGCGGGCAGTCCACAGCTAAAGGTGCTGACAGGCCTCTGACTGTGCAAGCGACAGCTGTGGTCAAGTGACAGCTGCGGTGTGGGGTCCTTAGAAGGACCTGACCAGGGAAACCTGAAACTGGGACCCTAGCCCTAACCTAAACCCTAACTCTAACACTAACCCTAAACCTAACCTAAACCCTAACTCTAACCTTAACCTTAAACCTAACTCTTAGCCTGACCCTAAACCTAAACCTAACCATCACCCTAACCCTAAAGCCAACTCTAACCCTGAGTCTAACACTGAAACTAACACGAACTGTAACTGTACCCATAAACCTAACAGTACCCCTAGCCCTAACCTAATGACTGGATGGCAGTACCTGTTTCCGTGAAAGCATGCAGTACTGTGTGACAGGGATGTGGAGACAGGCTGGTGGCTGTCACCCTCAGTCTGGCTGTGTTGCATTTCTTTCTGCCTAGACTCTGGATACCTGTTCAGCGGGAGCCGCCCACCATCTCGGGTGTCTCCACCTGGGGAGGTTTCTCTTTCAGGTAAGGAGGAGGAGAGCTGGCCGAAGGGTCTGGGAAGCTGTTTGCAGGAGCCCCTGAGGCAGGTTAACTGTGAGCCTTGGGGGCCGTGGAACTGTGTTCTGGTCCTAGGCATGGACGCCTAGCTTTTCTCCATGTGAAGGGGGGTGGGGAGTTTGGGGTCAGACCCTGTCATGCTGTGTTCACAGTTAGAGCCAGGTGCAGCTGCAGCCCTAGCAGGCCAGGCCAGCCGGCCTCAGAGAAGGTGCCAGTCTGCCCACACCGGGGTCCAGCTCAGCCCAGGGAGGTCTAAGAGAGATTCAGGGCTCTTGGACATTCCAGCCTCACGCCCTGCTCAGTTCCTGGTGTGGCCCTGGCCTCTCCTGGCTCCCGCTGTCCCAGCCTGCACGTTACCTTCCTCCGTGAGCTAAGGGACAGCATCAGGTCCCAGAGCCAGGTGGCAGATGTCCGTGTCCTGTGCGGGTGTCACATGCCGGGGCTGCTGCCATCCCTGTTGTCATCTTCCCTCTGCAGATTACTTCTCTCTGCTGTCGGGCAGCCTGCCCTCCTCCCCACTCCCTTCCCCAGCGCCTTCGGTCGCCAGCTCCGTGGCCTCCAGCTCTGGCTCCCTGCGCCACCGCAGGCCCCTCATCAGCCCTGCCCGGCTCAACCTGAAAGGACAGAAACTGCTGCTCTTCTCAACCCCCGGGGAAGCACCCAATACCCCCAGCAGCTCGGAAGAGCACTCGCCGCCCAATGGCAGCCTCTTCATTGAGCCTCCCCAGCTCCCCCAAAGGAATCGCACGCGGGACACCAAACACGACATGGGTATGTGTGTGGGCCTGAAGCATGCGTGCAGTAGGTACTGCATGGAGCTCTTGGCTGGTCCCAGAGGTCATGCGTGCTGTGGTGGGGCCTCTGTAACCACTCTTAAGCACCAGACTGCCAAGTGTGACTCTGGTAACCTTGGACCCTCTCCGATGGCTGTTTTCACCCTTTGCTCTTAGAAGTGACTTTCAGGGTTCTCATTTACTGGGATCTTGGAAAGACTGCCAGCCTGTGCCTGTCCAGGGTGCTTCCATTGTCTACCAAGCATTTTAAAAAGTTAATTGGACTCTGTTCAAGTTTAGACTTTGACGAGGAATGTGTGGTTTTCTTGGGTCTGTAAATGTGGGTAGATTTGAGCATATGGACTAAGCGCTGTTGAGAGGAGGGGATGGGCAGGTGGTCTGTAGCCCTGAAGTCACTCCGGTCATCAGCCTCACTGCCTCGTGGCTCTTGCTGGTGACAGTTGGCACTTGGGTGCTGCCCTGACCTCAGCACGGGGTTCAGAGGAGTCCTGGCCCTCTGCTGCTCAGAGGTGTGAGCAGTTGGGACTTGAGGACCTTGTCCTAGTACAGAAGCAGAGCCGCTGGGATGTCCTGGGTTGGGACTGAGAAAACAGCGGAGTCTCTTCCCCTGCAGACATGAGATCGATGCTGGCAAGAGACGGTGCCTACAGCAACCCCTCCATCAAGAAAGAGGACGACTCGTCACAGTCCTCCGCCTGCATGGTGGACACCACCACCAAAGGGTGCTCAGAGGATGCTGCTCCCTGGAAAGGTTTGTGACCGGGTGGGAGGACAGATGTTCGGAAGCCACTGAAGACATCCAGGATGGCCCTTGTCTGCAGAGTCTCGGTGTGGGTCTGGGCACTGTAAGGCTGCATGTGTGGGCCAGAGTGTCACCAGCCTCCTGGGTTGGTGCTGGCTTAGTGACAGGTGGGTGTGAGACGCCAGTGGATCCCGGTGACCTTCCCACGTGGGGAGACAGGACACTGGTAGTAGAAAGGACAAGTCAGCAAGTAAGGTTTCTTGGCTGGGAGCCAGTACCGCCCCTGAATCGGATCTGGAGTGTGGTCTGGTGACTTTGGGGCCGTGATGAAAAGACCTGGGACCTCAGTCTACTTTTTTTTTTTTTTTTTTTTTTTGGTTTTTAAGCAAGGTCTATAGCTCAGGCTGGCTTTGAACTCACTAAGCTGAGAATGCATTTAATCTCCTTATCTGGTGCCTCTGTCTCCCCAGTGCTGGGATCATAGACACATGCCACCATTCCCAGCTCTGAGTCTACTTTTTCATCTCTGAGACTTGAGCAGAGTAGTCCCCTACCTGCCCCCATTTCTTCCCTTGTAACGTGGGTATTTTGGTTGCCCCCTTGTTACCTGGGTACAGTCACAGACAGTCTGTGGTCACACGGGTTCTGGAAAGATATGCCTTCAGAGAAGCAGGGCCAACCAGTACCCTCCGGGAGGTCCCCAGGTCCTCCATGCAGGGGGACTTTCCTGGAGGGAAGAATAGATGTGGCCTGGCCAGCTGGGGTAGGTCTGAGCACCCTACATGAGCATTGGGTGCCAGCCACACTGCTTCTGACTTTGTCCTGCTTACAGGTCGCGTCGGCCCCTCTCTTGTCCGGGGCCTCCTGGCTGTGAGCCTGGCTGTCAATGCACTCTTCACCTCAGCCTACCTGTACCAGAGCCTGCGCTCATCTCCTTGAGTGCCCTCGGGACGGCACTACCCAGGTGCATGCTGCATCCGCCACTGCCGCTCAGATCCCCTGAGGGGCTCTGTCTCCGCCTTGACACCAGGGCCCTTGACCCCCTGGGTTGAGTCCCTGACCTCAGGATACCTGCTGTCCCCCCAACAGACTGCAGGCATCAGCTGTGTTTGGTGCTGACACTCTGACCCTGAAGCCAGGGATCTCTGACAGCTGCCCAGCTCCGGGGACACTGGTGCTGCTGTGACGCCAGCGCGGGCCAGCACGGCTGCCTCTGCCCTACTGCTGCCAACAATCTTCCTCTACTCCGAGACACCAGAGGTCTGCCTCAGAGTCCTGCCAAAAACCCAGATGAAGAAGGCCCTGGGAGGAGCAAGTGGACCCCAACTCACTTCATCCTCACCCCGCCCACTCAGGGAGCAAGCCTCCCTGAGCCCCTGACTAGACGGCTCCAGCCAGGGCAGAGCAGGTGGGGCTACATTAAGTACCGTGTCCCTCTCCCCGACTCCTGCCTCACACACCTGTTTTGTGACCTGTGGTGACTCAGCAAGTAGCTCCATTGCCCTGAGGGCACCAACACCACCCGTGCCCATTTGTCTGAGCCTCTCTCTCGTCATCCAGAGTCCTGGCCTGGCCGTCAGTGCCACGTGAGCTGCACAATTCAGACGAGACTGGACCCCTCACACCGAAACCCCTCTCTCCTTCATCCTGCCCCCACCTCTGTCCCAGGTGACTCTGGCTCCTGCCACCTCATTTGGCCTCCGTGCCCAACCACTGCTCTGTTGAGGGTACTGCAGACTTGTGGAGCACATCTGTCTCACGAGGAAGGAGGGACTTTGGCTTAACACTGGCCCTTTCGACACTGTGGGGTGACATGTGCCTGTGGGGGTCGGTCCCGTCCCCCAACCCAGGCCTTGGCCCCAGGAACATGTGTGTATGTGTGTGTGAGTGTGTATATGTGTCTTTGTGTTACATCAGGTGGGATTTGTTATGGGGGGGGCATGGGGCAGGGAAGGGTCTTCACTGTCATTCAGGGATGAAATTCAGCTTTATTTTTCTACACATTTTTTGCCAGGAGAGGCATGTGCTTTGGAACAAACGCCCCCAGCTCTCCCTGCCAGGAGACTGCGTGTTAAGCTTGGTGCTTCCCAGTCTTCTTTCTGTTTTTGCTGCAGGGAAGGAGGCCCGACCTGACCTCCACACTCTGTCCTAGGAGCTCTTGATGACATCCTGGGTTGTCGCACACCCCAGCATGTGGGCAGTCAGGGCAGTGTCAGGACTTCATGAGCCCAACTGCCACCAAAGGTTCCAGCTTGGGGGTGGCACTTGTATAGTGTCTGCATTTGTATAGTGGGTGCATCAAGTTTATTTTTTTTTCTGGCTAATGAAACCAAATTGTTCCCCAGCATCCTGTGTCCTGCCCTGAGGAAGCACCCAGGAAAAGCTGTGACCCCTCCCTCCCAGCAGGCCAGCCTGCCGCCCTGTGCACCCATGAGGGGCTTCTACTTGTGTTTTGATTCATACATAAAACACGTTATTTTTCTTTACAAAAGCAAAAAAAACTTAAAAAACCATGCCAACCTTTGACTTGTACCAGGCTGTTGTCTTTAATGGCTCGCTGGAAGAAAAGCACCCATCCCAGGGTGGGGCGCTGTGTAGCTCGTTGGTACAGAGACTCCATGGAGCCCTGCTTCTTGAAGGAGCGAGCTAGGAGCCATGCTGACTGCACCCGGACACCTGTGACCAACAGGAAATTGATGGTGTGCATGGAGACTGTCAGCCACACCTCCCCTGCCTCCTCTCTGTTGCTGTGACAAGGCACCCTGACGGAAAGCATAGGAGGGCAGGGTTTATTCAGCATGTAGTTCCAGTGCCGCTATCATTGAGGGCCATCAAGACAGGAGCTTGAAAGCGGGCTTGCATTGCCAGTGCACACAGCCTGACGAAGGAACTCTGCCAAAGGAGTTGGGTGGAGACCATGGGCCAAGCTGCCCACTGACTGACGGTCACAGCTTTAATATACCCTTCAGGAGCTGGGCGTTGGTGGCGCACGCCTTTAATCCAGCACTTGGGAGGCAGAGGCAGGCGGATCTCTGTGAGTTCGAGACCAGCCTGGACTACCGAGCAAGTTCCAGGACAGCCTCCACAGCCACAGAGAAACCCTGTCTCGGAAAACCAAAAAAAAAAAAACACATACCCTTCAGGACCCCTGCCTAGGGACCGGTGCTACCCCTAGTAGACTGGGCTCTTAATGCTACATCAATTAATAAGGCAATCCACAGGCATGGCCACAGTTCAGTCAAGTAGAGCTAACCAGGACCAGAGGCAGCAAGTGGCAAAGATTGGGCTGTCCCAGGCCCCCACACTAGCCCTGTGGATCTCTTGGCCACTGAGTTCAGAACCTGCAGGCACAGAATGGAGCACTGCCTGAAAAGGATGGGTGTCACAATGCCCACTCTGCCCTGACAACCCTTAAAAAGCCATGCATTTCCTGTCTCCCACCAGGCCCCCTTCACAGCCACCAATGAAATCAGACACTATTGCCACATGATTGCTTCTGGAACGTTCCTATCCTGGTTTTACATCAGGCAAATCCCGCCCTGGCTAAATAGCAGAGACTTACTCCTTTCTGTGCTGGAACCTGTGGCCCCACTTCCCAAAGTGCCTCCCGTCTCCAAATTCCTGTCCTGATTGCTACCCTCTGCCTTTTGAAGGTGTGTTATACAGTTCCTGGAACCCACAGAGTGGAAGGAAATAACTGACTCCACCAACTTGTCCCCTGACCCCCACTTCTTCGTGGTGGCTTCCTTACACTCAGACACAAACCAGTAAGTGTCAAAAGCAAAGGTGAAATAGCTCTGAGTACAGGGGCTGGCCGCCAAGCTTGGCAGTCTGGATTTGATCCTGGAACTCACATGATAGAAGCTGAGAACTGACTGTTGCAACTAATCACTCCAGCACACAAAGTTTTTTAAAGTTTAAGTTTTTGCGTTTGTTAGTTAAGGTTGAGGTCTATGGTGGCAGGAACATGTAATCCTTGCACTTAACAGATGGAAGCCAGAGACTTGGGAGTTGAAGTTCAGCTGTGTAGTTTCCTGCCAGCCTGAAAGTTGAGAAGCTAACTCTGTTCTCCCCCTTTCAGTTCATTCAGAAAGACATGGAGGCAGCCGGGCGTTGGTGGCGCCACGCCTTTAATCCCAGCACTCAGGAGGCAGAGGCAGGTGGATCTCTGTGAGTTCGAGGCCAGCCTGGTCTACAAAGCGAGTTCCAGGACAGCTTCCAAGATAATACAGAGAAACCCTGTCTTGAAAAACCAAAAAAAAAAAAAAAAAAGAAAGACATGGAGGCTGAGCCTAGTGGCTCACACCTCGAATCTTAGCATCCTGGAGGCTGGGGCAGGTTTTCTTTGAATAGACCTACAGATGCACACACCTTTAAACCCAACACTCGGGAGACAAGAGGCAGGCAGATCTCTGAGTTCGAGGCCAGCCTCACCTACAGAGTGAGTTCCAGGACAGCCAGGGCTACACAGAGAAACCCTGACTCAAGAAAAATAACTGGGAAGAAGGTATGTTGCAGGGGGAGGGGAGGGCGGCATCAGCCAGGCAGAGAAGATGAGGAAGGAGTCCTATATTATCTCGTTGAGGTCAGGGACACTGGTCACTGCTGTACCCGCCAAATAGAGGATGCTGCCTGCATCTCAAAGGTGAAATGTTTGGTGTCCTTTAGTAACAGGCTGGACACCGGAGCAAACCTGTGACCCCTAGCCCTCAATGGTCTCACATACCACTTAGGTGCCAGGGCACAGAGCCACGGGGAGACGTGAAGCCCGTTTGCGTTTCTGTCGCTACAGCAGAGAGGAAACTAAGGAGGGCAGAGCCGGGGCTCTGTAACCACCTAGGGAGTGGCTGGACATGGGCACAGGTGCCTCCTGGGGTGAAGAGGGAGAAAGGGAAAGGTGTGGGCCAGGGTCATTCTGTCCAGCACCTACGAAGGGGACGGGACAGTCTGGATGGTGTGTCGTGTGCAGTGTGGGAAGTAAGAAATAGGAAGTTTTGGGGAAGAAGGAACCGGTTCCAGAAGAACAACCCTCGCGCGCCAGCACCTGCTGCAGTCAGCTGCTTGGCCCTTGGTATGCCCCGCCCCATAGCAGACGGAGGGAAAGAGAATTCTGCACTGGCGGCAGAAAGCGCCTTGTAAGCAGGGCTATGGTGGAGCGTGCCTTTAATCCCTTCCCAGCACTTGGGAGGCAGGCGGATCTTGGTGATTTCGATGCCAGTCTGGTCTAGGAAGCAAGCTCCAGGACAGCCAGGGCTGTTACATAGAGAACCCCTGTCTTTAAAAAAAAGGAAAGAAGAGTGAAGGAAAGAAAAACAATAAAACAAAAAGCAGGCACACCGCATAGGGAGCATTGAGGCATAGGGAGCGCTGAGCTGTGCTACCTGCAGTACTACGCATGGCCACTAGGGGAGTCCTGGTCCTTCCTGGAACCCAAACCCCGGGCCCAGAGGTGAGGCTGTAGATGCCCATAGAAATTGACTGCTCAGCAGGGCAGGCCCTCCATGGGATAACCCACGTTAGCCTCCGTGTCAGGGGCAGTCTCCAGTCTCAGCCAGTCCTCCTGCCGAGGTGGGAGCGTCACAGGGATAAATGGAATAGGCAGTTTGTGGACACTCAAAGCTAACGACAAACTAGAGAAGACCCCCATAAGCAGGGGCCAGGCGAGAACACAAGCCTCCAACAGGCTTAGATCCCAACACTCCCGGCCACTGAGCGCTGCGTGGTCTCAGGCGAGCAGCTGAGTTTCTGCCGCATCTCCCTGCTTAATACCTGTGACCTCAACCCTTGGGAAGCAGAGGCTGGAGGAACGGCAGTTCAAGGTCATTCTTGGGTACAGTTTGAAGCCAGCCTAGGCTACTTGAAACACTATCTCAAAAAAAAAAAAAAAAGAATATGACAACATTGAAATAAAAAGAAGCAGTATTCGGTTCTCACCAAGAATCAGGACTCGGAGGCCGGGCGGTGGTGGCGCACGCCTTTAATCCCAGCACTCGGGAGGCAGAGGCAGGCGGATCTCTGTGAGTTCGAGGCCAGCCTGGTCTACAAGAGCTAGTTCCAGGACAGTCTCCAAAGCTACAGAGAAACCCTGTCTCGAAAAATCAAAAAAAAAAAAAAAAAGAATCAGGACTCGGGTTGGAGAGATGGCTCAGTGGTTAAGAACTTTGGCTGCTCTTCCAGAAGTCCTGTAAAGAGATCTGGTCTGCAGGCAGACATGCAGAATACTATACACATAATAAATAAATATTAAAAAAAGAGTTGGGGCTCTTCTAAGCATTTATACTTTTTTTTTCCTGAGGCAGCGTTTCCCTGTAGCTTTGGAGGCTGTCCTGGAACTCACTCTAGACCAGGCTGGCCTCAAACTCACAGAGATCCTCCTGCCTCTGCCTCCTGAGTGCTGGGATTAAAGGCATGCACCAACAGCCCGCTCATATTAATTCTTTATAGTCCCCCTCTACATGGAGGTCAGGGGCCAAGTCTTTTCTCCTATAATGTCTACCTTCCCACTGGTCTTGAATGCTGCACCCAGCTCAGGCAGACTTCATCAAAGAAGGTATCGAAGAGGGGCATGGCTGAGGTTGGCTGCTGGCCCTACCTGGTTCCGGTTCCAGGCCACCTTACGAGGGAGCAGAAGCCTGGAAAGGAAGCAGAGCCACCCGCATGGCTGGACAGCCTGGGGAGCCACTGTGAGAGCTACCTCATGAAGAGAGGGTGTACTGGTGGACGTGGGTGAGGAGGTCAGATCAACGCCAGGCTCTTAACCTTGGGGACTTCCCGGGCCGCAGGGCCTCCCTGGAAAGAGGGGACAATCAGAGCAGCCGGGACAGGTGGACCCAGGCAGCTGGTGTTTAGATGTGCTTGGCTTGAGGGCTCTGTTAAATGTTGGGGTGTCTGCAGGTTGCTAGGGAAACAAGTGATGGTCAGGGTGTGGCAAAGGGAAAGATGGGTGCTGTGGACCAGGCTGGGGCGCCTGGCTCAGGGGAGCAGGGTGATCCCAATGCCATGAGGCCTCAGGGCCCCCAGGCAGGGAAAGCGCCAGTAGTAGGACTCTGTGAGGGAGGTCACCAGAAGCCTGGCTTCTTGGCTCCGAGTGGGGCAAGCAGAGGTGAGCTGTATCCTCGTCACCTCACTCGGGTCACCTGAGTCCCTTCCCTGCTTGAGGTCTTAGCCGGATTGTGCCACCAGAGCGTATAACTACAGATGGGCCGCCTGAGCTCTGGCCTAGGAAGGAGGCCCCTGAAGGCCCTGGAATTCCGAGCTCTTTGCTCTCTCAGCCAACAACCACACAGTCGAGCTTGTGTCCAGAAGGCTGTGCTTAGCTTCTGCTGCTTCCTCTGGGTGGCGTCCCCTCCCCGGCTCCAGCAGAGACCAGGCCCTGAACCTCAGGTAGACACAGCTCAGGAACTAGGGTCTCAGGCCCAGCTCCTCAGCTGCCTGTTCCCCAAGTACTGAGATGGACCCAGAGCCAGCACCCCTGCCCTGCCCCGCCCCGCCCCCACCACTGTACTCTCACAGGCCTAGAACAAAAACACACC